GTTAATGAAGTACACAGCTACAATCCCCTTGGAAAGCAAGATGCAAACATACAGCCAAAACCATAAAGACTGTCACATCCTTTCACTTAGTAATTAACATATAGTTTTTAATCCTAATAAATAAGTCAATGGAAGCAAAAAAGACATATACAACAGAAATGTACATTTTAGTTGTAGCTATCAGAGGAAAAATTATCAATTTAAATATTCATTTTATCAAATAAAAGCATAGAACAATATAAATACCATATTTATAATAAAAGGGGTAAATATGAAATGTATGCAAAATCATTTAAAATCTTACCAATTCTATTAAGTGAAAATAGTCAAAAGTAAAGGAGCAAGTATGTACTATGATTTCAACTTCATAAAATGTGGATAGATGCAAGGTCATAGGAAGACTCAAAACAGTTACGTTATTAGGCTTTTAAAAAATATTTTAACTTTTTAATGAATATTTTTCTAATGTTTTTGCATTAGTACATTTTTTCATTTAATCAGTAATTTAAAAATTTTCAAACCCTGCTTTAGTTTAACAGAAAGCGAATTTTAAAGTTTCTGCCTAAATCTTCCGAGTGATTTTTGTTGGCTGACAAATTATTTGTGACATTATTCGTCCGGAGTGATTTCCGCTCTCTACTATGTAATTCTTTCGTGTCTGTAGAGATTCTAAAATCTCAGAACCCTGCTCTTCTTTCCCTCCCCTAAGAAGATTCTTAAAAAGCTCTGTCATCTAATCTAGCTTTTAATAACCCCATGATTGCCTTGTAACGCTAATATTTGACAACTGCCTGGCCTGGGAGGCAACATTTCTGACCTGTGTGGGTGCCTCCGCAGTAACCACAAAGTTGCCATTGTCCTTCCCAGTGTATAGGGTGGTTGCACATTCCAAGTTTTGGGAGCTTTACAGCAGGACATCTTCTCTTTTCAGGAGTCTTAGGGCACCCTTCCGGGTCGCTGAGGAAAGCTACCGTGTTAGGACCCTCCCTGTATATAAGGACTTGCATATCCTCTTTCATTTTAGAAATGCTCTCTTCCTACTAGGTCATTGGTACATCTTTGCTCGTAATATCTGGGAAAGATGGCAGAGCCAATGAATTAAAAATATGATTCTAGGTCTCACGTGTGCCAATGAATGCCCTCATTAAAGCAGAATGAGTGAGATGAGATCGGTTTCAAAGCTTTCCATCCCTCTGCCCCAGAGCCGCGGAGGCCAGGCACTGAAAGGATGCAGTAAAATTAAATATCTAAAAATTCATCTTTAATTAACAGAATTGGATTAAAGCTAGACACCACCACATATCATACGAGAAATGGCTGAGCTGGTTTCCAAGTGCTCTAATTCAATTAGGACGCAGTGAGTGACACTCGGACGGGAAAGGTTAATTGGGGGCGTCAGAACGCAATCATTCCTTACCTAACCAGTCATTAAACTTCTTAACCTCTGAGGGCAGTCCCAGCTCGGTGAAATCGCCTGTGTGGAGAAGGATGTCCCCATAAGGCATCTGGATACCATCTGTTCTGGAGTGTGTGTCTGAGATGCAGACAAACCGCGTGTGGCCCGCTGGTTTTGGAGTGTCATATGGGATGGGGTCGACCCTAAAGTAGACATAACAGATCCCATAACAGTTAAATATATTAGAACCCTTGTAATTGTCATCGCATATACATATCGATTGTTATCCGTGAACTCACCCAGAGAAACTGATGCAAAGGCAGAAGTCCCATTGTAAAAAGGGACACTTGGGTACAAAGAAGACAGCATTACCCATCTAAACCCCACTGGGCAAATTCAGAAAGTCTTACTTACCTGGCAGGAGAATTAAAAGGAAAGAATATATTACATGTAGAGTTGGAAATAACCCAGGAAACTGATAAAGTGATTAATGGTGAAGTGTAGGGATATGAACCCCAACTGGGGAAGCAAAATTATGCTATTTCCTCTCTCATCATGCTCCAACTGATCCCACTACTCATTAGGAAATGGATAACTAATTTTTTCCTTCTTAAACATGCATAACTTAAGCAATGAAGTAATTTACAGAGAACACTCTGCACATGCTTTGCCAACCGAGATGTGGAGAGAAACAGATATTTAACTTCCTTTCCTCAATCATTCAACACCTGCATCTTCTTGTTTTTGCCAAGAGACTAACAAATCAAATCGTGGGGTGGGGAGGTGATACCAAAATAACAGGGCTTAAAAGAAAGCATTGGATGTTAAAAGGATTTTGTCAAGCTCCTTCTTTACCACCATGAATTATCTCCGTCCCAGTTACACCTTAGGTTACTTGGAACCTCAGATGCCTGGGGCAAAGATTTTATTCAGTGCAAATAGTAAGCCTTTTAATGGGTGCATATGTGTCTACATATACATTAATATATGTATAGTTTTAGTGACCTAAGCGCTGTGAAATTACACTAGGGCATGAGAATCAAAAGGCAAAATGATCAACCCGAAGCAAAGAAAATGAAACAGAACATTCTCATTTAATTGAGTGTAACAAAGTGTGCTAAATAAACTTGGTAAAGAAATGCAAATTTGGCTCTTCAAGCATACAGTTTTAATTATTTAAGGGGTTTGTAGCAGAGTTAAGGATGCTTTAACTGTATTAACTTTACACTGACAGCTTCCTTTAATTTCTCCATAGGAATGTACACTTGCTTTGGATTATGGGTGAAGAGAAGCAGTTATAAATACACAGAGAAGGTCACAAGAGAAGCAAATAGGCAATGTGGAGATTAGAGTGTGAAATATTAAATAAGGAACAGTATTTCAGTATCCAGCCCCATCCCTGATAGTTAACATGCAGCAAAAAACACAGGATTCCTTACGCATGTTACCTCTACAAGGCTTTGTTTAATTGTTCTTTCTTTTTTTCCACTTTTTGAAAAGAAACAGTCTGTTTTAACAATGGCAATTCTATGAGGGAAATAAAGACATCAATATAAAACCTGGATAGTCTTGCATTTCTTTAAATGGTTAATTTTTAAATTTTACTTTCGTCAGAGAAGGAAAGAAAGGAAGAAGAAAAGGGATTTAGAAGAGAGAAAGGACGAAGGAGGGAGGCAGGGACTGTGAATTGGTTAATGCAGTGGGTCTAACTGGTAACCCAAAAAGAAAGTTTAAACTTCTGAAAAAATTAATGGATTTTTCCTGTAAAGGCTAGACTTTAATAATGCTGTTACCATGGGGAAAATTTACTAATCCTCTGAGATCTTATGAGTAACCTGGAAATCCTCCTCATTATATCCAATGTTGACTTTTTTTTTTTTACATGTAAAAATGTCTGGTGTCTTCCTCCTTTCTGTCACTGAGACTGTATGATACTGTCTCAGTGGTTCCAATCTTATCAATATCTCACGTCTTCTAAAAGTAGTATTCCTAGAGAATGAATGACTGTTTCCTGCTGTAGCAGACTGAGTCACCCTCTGAAAGTGATAGTTAATATTCTATTCCTAGACCCAAAGTTAGGATGCTCACTAGAGTAGAACTGTGCACATTTATACTTAATTCACCAACATTTGAATGAAAATAAATCAATTGACCAATTGGACTTCTAAATATATAAATAAATTCAATTATATACATGTTTGTATTTGCCAGTTCTCATCCTAATGGTAAGTAATAAACAGACACAGCCCGCATTTCTTCCTTTCTGTAACCCAGTTAAGCTACAGGCACAAGTACTATGTCAAAATCCTTCATGAGTCCATCTGAACTTACTGGAGGGACATATGTCATAGCCATCACTTTAAATTCATTAAACAGGAATTAGCACAGATATAAACCCCTCACTGTGAATAGGCCCCCTATATCTATGAATCTACTCAGTTTAGAGAAGCAAAAGATTATGCGGTACAGAATTTGCTTCCCATCTTAGCTCTTTATTGGGCAATTGCTTTGTGAGACCTTTGGAACACCAGTCAATTTTGAACAGCTTCAACCTCCTTCTCCATACTACAACCTCTTCCATAGGAAGACTCAAAACAGTTACGTTATTAGGCTTTTAAAAAATATTTTAACTTTTTAATGAATATTTTTCTAATGTTTTTGCATTAGTACATTTTTTCATTTAATCAGTAATTTAAAAATTTTCAAACCCTGCTTTAGTTTAACAGAAAGCGAATTTTAAAGTTTCTGCCTAAATCTTCCGAGTGATTTTTGTTGGCTGACAAATTATTTGTGACATTATTCGTCCGGAGTGATTTCCGCTCTCTACTATGTAATTCTTTCGTGTCTGTAGAGATTCTAAAATCTCAGAACCCTGCTCTTCTTTCCCTCCCCTAAGAAGATTCTTAAAAAGCTCTGTCATCTAATCTAGCTTTTAATAACCCCATGATTGCCTTGTAACGCTAATATTTGACAACTGCCTGGCCTGGGAGGCAACATTTCTGACCTGTGTGGGTGCCTCCGCAGTAACCACAAAGTTGCCATTGTCCTTCCCAGTGTATAGGGTGGTTGCACATTCCAAGTTTTGGGAGCTTTACAGCAGGACATCTTCTCTTTTCAGGAGTCTTAGGGCACCCTTCCGGGTCGCTGAGGAAAGCTACCGTGTTAGGACCCTCCCTGTATATAAGGACTTGCATATCCTCTTTCATTTTAGAAATGCTCTCTTCCTACTAGGTCATTGGTACATCTTTGCTCGTAATATCTGGGAAAGATGGCAGAGCCAATGAATTAAAAATATGATTCTAGGTCTCACGTGTGCCAATGAATGCCCTCATTAAAGCAGAATGAGTGAGATGAGATCGGTTTCAAAGCTTTCCATCCCTCTGCCCCAGAGCCGCGGAGGCCAGGCACTGAAAGGATGCAGTAAAATTAAATATCTAAAAATTCATCTTTAATTAACAGAATTGGATTAAAGCTAGACACCACCACATATCATACGAGAAATGGCTGAGCTGGTTTCCAAGTGCTCTAATTCAATTAGGACGCAGTGAGTGACACTCGGACGGGAAAGGTTAATTGGGGGCGTCAGAACGCAATCATTCCTTACCTAACCAGTCATTAAACTTCTTAACCTCTGAGGGCAGTCCCAGCTCGGTGAAATCGCCTGTGTGGAGAAGGATGTCCCCATAAGGCATCTGGATACCATCTGTTCTGGAGTGTGTGTCTGAGATGCAGACAAACCGCGTGTGGCCCGCTGGTTTTGGAGTGTCATATGGGATGGGGTCGACCCTAAAGTAGACATAACAGATCCCATAACAGTTAAATATATTAGAACCCTTGTAATTGTCATCGCATATACATATCGATTGTTATCCGTGAACTCACCCAGAGAAACTGATGCAAAGGCAGAAGTCCCATTGTAAAAAGGGACACTTGGGTACAAAGAAGACAGCATTACCCATCTAAACCCCACTGGGCAAATTCAGAAAGTCTTACTTACCTGGCAGGAGAATTAAAAGGAAAGAATATATTACATGTAGAGTTGGAAATAACCCAGGAAACTGATAAAGTGATTAATGGTGAAGTGTAGGGATATGAACCCCAACTGGGGAAGCAAAATTATGCTATTTCCTCTCTCATCATGCTCCAACTGATCCCACTACTCATTAGGAAATGGATAACTAATTTTTTCCTTCTTAAACATGCATAACTTAAGCAATGAAGTAATTTACAGAGAACACTCTGCACATGCTTTGCCAACCGAGATGTGGAGAGAAACAGATATTTAACTTCCTTTCCTCAATCATTCAACACCTGCATCTTCTTGTTTTTGCCAAGAGACTAACAAATCAAATCGTGGGGTGGGGAGGTGATACCAAAATAACAGGGCTTAAAAGAAAGCATTGGATGTTAAAAGGATTTTGTCAAGCTCCTTCTTTACCACCATGAATTATCTCCGTCCCAGTTACACCTTAGGTTACTTGGAACCTCAGATGCCTGGGGCAAAGATTTTATTCAGTGCAAATAGTAAGCCTTTTAATGGGTGCATATGTGTCTACATATACATTAATATATGTATAGTTTTAGTGACCTAAGCGCTGTGAAATTACACTAGGGCATGAGAATCAAAAGGCAAAATGATCAACCCGAAGCAAAGAAAATGAAACAGAACATTCTCATTTAATTGAGTGTAACAAAGTGTGCTAAATAAACTTGGTAAAGAAATGCAAATTTGGCTCTTCAAGCATACAGTTTTAATTATTTAAGGGGTTTGTAGCAGAGTTAAGGATGCTTTAACTGTATTAACTTTACACTGACAGCTTCCTTTAATTTCTCCATAGGAATGTACACTTGCTTTGGATTATGGGTGAAGAGAAGCAGTTATAAATACACAGAGAAGGTCACAAGAGAAGCAAATAGGCAATGTGGAGATTAGAGTGTGAAATATTAAATAAGGAACAGTATTTCAGTATCCAGCCCCATCCCTGATAGTTAACATGCAGCAAAAAACACAGGATTCCTTACGCATGTTACCTCTACAAGGCTTTGTTTAATTGTTCTTTCTTTTTTTCCACTTTTTGAAAAGAAACAGTCTGTTTTAACAATGGCAATTCTATGAGGGAAATAAAGACATCAATATAAAACCTGGATAGTCTTGCATTTCTTTAAATGGTTAATTTTTAAATTTTACTTTCGTCAGAGAAGGAAAGAAAGGAAGAAGAAAAGGGATTTAGAAGAGAGAAAGGACGAAGGAGGGAGGCAGGGACTGTGAATTGGTTAATGCAGTGGGTCTAACTGGTAACCCAAAAAGAAAGTTTAAACTTCTGAAAAAATTAATGGATTTTTCCTGTAAAGGCTAGACTTTAATAATGCTGTTACCATGGGGAAAATTTACTAATCCTCTGAGATCTTATGAGTAACCTGGAAATCCTCCTCATTATATCCAATGTTGACTTTTTTTTTTTTACATGTAAAAATGTCTGGTGTCTTCCTCCTTTCTGTCACTGAGACTGTATGATACTGTCTCAGTGGTTCCAATCTTATCAATATCTCACATCTTCTAAAAGTAGTATTCCTAGAGAATGAATGACTGTTTCCTGCTGTAGCAGACTGAGTCACCCTCTGAAAGTGATAGGTAATATTCTATTCCTAGACCCAAAGTTAGGATGCTCACTAGAGTAGAACTGTGCACATTTATACTTAATTCACCAACATTTGAATGAAAATAAATCAATTGACCAATTGGACTTCTAAATATATAAATAAATTCAATTATATACATGTTTGTATTTGCCAGTTCTCATCCTAATGGTAAGTAATAAACAGACACAGCCCGCATTTCTTCCTTTCTGTAACCCAGTTAAGCTACAGGCACAAGTACTATGTCAAAATCCTTCATGAGTCCATCTGAACTTACTGGAGGGACATATGTCATAGCCATCACTTTAAATTCATTAAACAGGAATTAGCACAGATATAAACCCCTCACTGTGAATAGGCCCCCTATATCTATGAATCTACTCAGTTTAGAGAAGCAAAAGATTATGCGGTACAGAATTTGCTTCCCATCTTAGCTCTTTATTGGGCAATTGCTTTGTGAGACCTTTGGAACACCAGTCAATTTTGAACAGCTTCAACCTCCTTCTCCATACTACAACCTCTTCCAGAAAAACATTTACATGTCCAACAGAATTAACAGTGAAATAAAGACCAAAGAACAGAAAAATACTGTGGACAGGGAAAAGGGAAAAAATGTGTCTTCTCAGCTTTGAGCTGAAATAATGAGTCAGAAGTACACAAGAAGATTGGTGGAGAAGGCTCACCCATCACCACCACTAATTTGATGTCCTTGAGGAGAATCAGTAGACATGTGGGAGAGATGTGAAGGACTGATTCAAGGGAGAGGCTTGGGGAAGGAGGATGCAGAATTTACCTACATCTCCTGAAACACAGATACCGATGTCCTTTATTACCCATGGAACTAAGAACAAGATGAGATGGTTTCAGGAGACAAGACAGAATAGTATATCAGAGCCACACTGTGGGATAACATGACAAATATCACCTGGGGTTCATAGAAGGGAAGACATTTCCACCCAAAAACATTCAGAGTTGAAAATAAAATGTCCAGTAGAATAAGCAAGTTACTGCAGATATTGTTAAAGCTGAGACAATCTTAAGGAAGCCACTATTTCCAAACTGGGCATTTGGTAAATGTTTTGAAAATGAAGGTCAAGATAGCCAAATATTTTCACTGTAAAAGCATGTCTAAGGGAGACCCTGAAGGCTATTAGAAGATCTACCTTTTCACATTGTGTGAGGACCCTCACACTACATTTTCCCTCTTACTTGACAACTTTACAGCTTACTGTTTCTGCTGCTGGCTTCTCCAGTGACCTGGCATTTCCCCTACAGCACCATGTCAAATATCCTAGCAAGTGAATATCTTACCAAGGCAATCTAACCCCCAGAGCCAGACTAAAATATCAGAGTGAGATCTGCATGTACCTTTGAGTACACCCAGGGAAAAACAAGATAACGTGGGAAGATGAGAAGAAAACACAGCATTTAAAATCCCAGAGCTGGACAAAACCTTAGGTGGCACTGGCTTGCATCTCCTTTAGCCCTTCCTATCTAGCTCACATAAACTTGCTTTCAAGGTTTCCAAAGAAGAGGAGACGCTCAATCTCTACCCACCCCAGGGCAGCCCATTTTGGTTTTTGATAGCTCTACTTGTTAGAAAGTTTCTGATCCATTGTCTGTATATCTGAGAAAGCTTGAATGTAGTCCAAAGAAACTTGGCCTGGAGCCTCATGACTGAGTAACAATTTTGGCTGAGTTATTTGCATTGGGTAAGTTGTTTCATTCTTTTGGGTTTTATTTTTATTCTCATCTGTAAAATGGGAATAATAATGAATCATCTGCTATGTTGCTATGAAGATATAAATTGTCAAGTACTGGGTCTGGCATACAGAACAGGCTCAGAATGTAGAGAAGCAGAATGATATATGAATGAAGCATGTTTGGCTATACAGCCAGACTTTCTGGCTTCAAATCCCACTCTGCATTTATTAACAGTCTGATACCAAGCAAGTCACTTCTCTCTTATGCCTTGGTTTCCTCACCAGCAAAATGGATATAAAAATACTACCTACCTCAGAGGACTGCTGTAAGGATGAAAAGGGGTAATTTAGAACAATGTAGTAGACACATAGTAGACAATAAACACGAGAGTATGTTTTTAATATTTAGCAGTATTTTTGCTGTTAGTCGTAGTAGATCCTTTAGCTTCCCTGACCTCCATCTCTCCTTCTGTCATGAGGAAATAATAAGAGCTACCGGGCAAGGATTTTGTGAGAATTAAAGATCACATACACAACACCTAGCCCAGTACTGGGCATGCAGGCCACAATCAATAAATGCATCTATTTCCTTCCTGTCACTTCTGCGTTAATCCCAGTTCTGCACTCTGAAATAACAGAGAATAAGAATTCAGTCTGTTTCCCTTTGACAGTTCTTCAAAGACTAAGGACATGTGTCATAGGCCCCAGAAATCTCTCCAGTAGTTGAAGAGCCACAATTTCTTCAACTTTTCCTTGTGTGATAGGATTTTGAGTGCCTCAGAATCCTGGTGATCTCCTCCTAGATACAATTTGATTGGTCAGAATACCTCTATTTTTAGTGTCAGAATTCATGGACCAGTGAGCTGTTTATCAGAGACGAATGCTATCAGAGGTGATGGAGAGATGACACTCTGGTGGACTTCCGTAGAGGAGGTCTGAGCTATCATCTTAAAACGTTTTATAGTCCAGTCTTCAAGCTTTGTGCCAAGCCTGAATGAAATCTTGTTCTGGAAGCTCATCAAATGTTTATATATCTCACTGCATATTCAAACAAATAAACCATTCTCATTTATTCAGTCTTGACAGAGTAGAGTTTTTACCCACAAAAAATATGACAATATTATTACTTCCATGATGGAATACTCTTCTTGTCATATCTGTTATTTTTCCCACTAACAAATTCATACAGTGTTGTAAGCCTCATTGATAGATCTTCAGAAAAGCTGTTATTGTGTGGTTTGTTATGACATGGATTTCTTCTTTAGATCACATGTGCAGTAAAAGCCTTGTGTACACAATTAGCCTATAATTCAGTGTGAGAATAGAATACTACCCTTACAAAGTGTTTTAACAGGAATTCAATGTATTTATAAACCCCCATTCCATTTGAAAATCTTGATGTGCTTATGCATTCCACTGATTTTTATCTCTAAAACCTTTTCCAAT